GGCGCCGCCCGCAAGGCTGGCCCCGCCGCTCACGTTCTCGAACAGGGGCAGCAGGTGCTGGGCCATCTTGAGGCTGGTGGCGCTGATGCCCTGGTGGCCCAGGTGACGGAGCAGGTCACCCAGGAGCGACATCAGCCCCAGGAGGTCCTCGGGCTTCGCCTTCAGGAAGCTGTCCAGCAGCACGGCCAGCTGCTTCTGAAGCAGCCCCACCTGCGGGAGACGAGCCCGCGGCCTCGCCCGCTGCCCCGCCCGCTGCCCCGCCCGGTCCTGCCCACACCTGCCTCTGTCAGCTGAGCAGGGCGTCTTGCCCGGGTGGGGGGGCTGGGGCTGGTGGCAGGGTGGGCGGGGAGAGCAGACGGTGGTCAGGTCAGGGACTGGACGGGAGGCCCCGAGCGCAGCGCTCGCTCTGGCGTTGAAACCCCAGGCCCCGCCCTGTGCCCACAGCAGCCTGCCCAACCGCAGGCCTCTGCGGGCCTGGCCGCACCCCCCAGGACACCCACCCGAGGGCCCGTGAAGCCCCGGGGGGTCAGCGGGAGGCACCACCTTCTTGGGGTGCAGCAGGGTGCTGCCGAGGCCCTTGAGGCTCGTGGCCCGCACGAGCGGGTGGGGGCTGTCCAGGCCCAGGCCCAGGAACTGGCCCATGGCTTGGGGAGCCGTGTACTGCGCCGTCTCCTGGCTGTTGAGAAACTGAAGGCCAGCGGTCAGCTGCGGCAGGATGCCCGGGCTGCCGCGGGCAGGCGGGGGTGGGCTGCGGGGGCGGGCTCACCTCTGTGATGATGAGGATGGCCACGACGTTGTCCCGCTCCTCGGGGCTCTTCAGGGCGATGACCGCCTGCCCCAGGACGGCCTTGACCTCGCAGTCGTAGTGGGCCATGGCCCTGTCGGAGGCCAGAGGCGGGGTGGCGGGGCTTCCCCGCCCGCAGCCCTCGGCCAGGCAGCAGGCTGCACCCCGGGGAGGTGGTCAGGGCCCTCCCCTGCCAGGCTTACCTGGCCAGCAGGGCCACCCCCTCCGCGTAGGTGTCCAGGCGCTCCAGGAGCTCCCAGCCCCGCTGCAGCTTGAGGTAGGCGAACACCTCCCAGTAGTTGGTGGTCCAGAAGAGGCCTTTGAGGGCCTCCAGGCAGGTCCTGCCGGGTGGGCGCCGGCGTGGGCGGGGCTGCGGG